AGTTGAAATGATCTTTTACTCCACAATAATACAACAAGTTAACTATCAAAATGTTAGACCAGTTGAAATGATCTTTTACTCCACAATAATACAACAAGTTAACTATCAAAATGTTAGACCAGTTGAAATGATCTTTTACTCCACAATAATACAACAAGTTAACTATCAAAATGTTAGACCAGTTGAAATGATCTTTTACTCCACAATAATACAAGTTAACTATCAAAATGTTAGACCAGTTGAAATGATCTTTTACTCCACAATAATACAAGTTAACTATCTAAATGTTAGACCAGTTGAAATGATCTTTTACTCCACAATAATACAACAAGTTAACTATCAAAATGTTAGACCAGTTGAAATGATCTTTTACTCCACAATAATACAAGTTAACTATCAAAATGTTAGACCAGTTGAAATGATCTTTTACTCCACAATAATACAACAAGTTAACTATCAAAATGTTAGACCAGTTGAAATGATCTTTTACTCCACAATAATACAACAAGTTAACTATCAAAATGTTAGACCAGTTGAAATGATCTTTTACTCCACAATAATACAAGTTAACTATCAAAATGTTAGACCAGTTGAAATGATCTTTTACTCCACAATAATACAAGTTAACTATCAAAATGTTAGACCAGTTGAAATGATCTTTTACTCCACAATAATACAACAAGTTAACTATCTAAATGTTAGACCAGTTGAAATGATCTTTTACTCCACAATAATTAGCTTGAAGTTTACACATATCTTCTTTTAAACACATAAAAAACAACTAAACTGAAAACCTACCATACAATATTCCACAAGGATATATTCTACACACACCTCTTCAACACATACCAGATCAGTGTTATATACTGTCAAAACCCCTATTCAACATGGTACATGTCAGTGTTACACCTCGTCAACAGACCTCTTCAAAATATAACATCAGTGTTATACCTCGTCAACACACCTCTTCAACAAATACCATATCAGTGTAACATACCTCTTCAACATGTAACATATCAGTGTTGTACATTGTCAACACACCTTTACAACACACACCAGATAAGTGTAATACCATGTAAACACATCTCTTCAACATGCAACATATCAGTGTTATACCTCATCAACACATCTCTTCAATATGTAACATATCAGTTATAGCTTTTCAACACATCTCTTCAATACATACCAGATCAGTGTTACACCTTGTCAACACATACTAGATCAGTGTTATACCTTGTCAACACACCTTTACATGCAACATAACAGTGTTATACCTTGTAAACACACCTCGACATGCAACATAAGTGTTATACCTCACTGATACATCTCTACAACACATACCAGATCAGTGTTATAACCCATCAACACACCAGATCATTGTTACATCCTGTCAACACACCTCTTCAACCCACACCAGATTAGTGTTACACGTCTACAACACATACGAGATGAGTGTTACACCTTGTCAACACATACCAGATCATTGTTATACCTTGTCAATACACCTCTTCAACACATACAACATCAGTGTTATAACTTGTAAACACACCTCTACATGCAACATAACAGTGTTATACCTCACTGACACACCAGATCATAGTTATATCTTGTCAACACAACTGTTGACATGTAACATAACAGTTACACCTTGTCAGCATACCTCTTCACGTGTAACACATTAGTGTTATACTTCATCAACAGACCACTTCAACATGTAACGTATCAGTTATACCTTGTAAACACACCTCTACAACATGTAAAATATCAGTTATACTTCATCAACAGACCTCTTCAACATGTAACATATCAGTGTTATACCTTTTACTCAAACCTCTAAAACACATACCAGATTATTGTTATACGTCTACAACACATACCAGATCGGTGTTATACCTTGTCAACACACCACTGTAACACATACCATATCAGTATTATACCTCGTCAACACACCTCAACACATACCACATCAGTGTTATACCTCATCAACACACCTCTTGAATATGTAACATATGAATGTGATACTTTGTAAATACACCACTATAACACATACCAAATCAGTGTTATACCTTGTCAACACACCATTAGAACACATACCAGATCAATGTTATGCCTTGTCAACACACCATTAGAACACATACCAGATCAATGTTATGCCTTGTCAACACACCATTAGAACACATACCAGATCAATGTTATGCCTTGTCAACACACCATTAGAACACATACCAGATCAGTGTTATGCCTTGTCAACTCACCTCAACAGCACATACCAGATCAGCATTATACCTTATCAACACCCTTCCTGAAAATGTAATATATCAGTGTTATACCTTGTCAACACCTACCAGATCAGTGTTATACCTCGTCAACACACCACTATACCACATACTAGATCAGTGTTATGCCTTGTAAACACACCATTAGAACACATACCAGATCAGTGTTATGCCTTGTCAACAAACAATTAGAACACATACCAGATCAGTGTTATACCTTATCAACACCCTTCTTGAAAATATAATATATCAGTGTTATACCTTGTCAACACACCTTTTCAACACCTACCAGATCAGTGTTATAACTTGTAAACACACCTTTAGATGGAACATAACAGTGTTATACCTCGTCAACACATCTCTACAACAAACACCAGCTCAGTGTTACACCTGTAAACATATCTCTTCAACATGTAACATATCAGTTTTCTACCTTGTACTCACACCTCTACAACACATAACAGATTGTTACACATCTACAACACATACAAGATGAGTGTTACACCTTGTCAACACATACCAGATCAGTATTATACATCATCAACACATACCAGATCAGTGTTATACCTCGCCAACACAGCTCTTCAACACACACCAGATCAGTGTTAAACCTTGTAAACACACCTCTTCAACATGTACCATATCAGTATTATACATCGTCAACACACCTCAACACATACCAGATCAGTGTTAAACCTTGTAAACACACCTCTTCAACATGTACCATATCAGTATTATACATCGTCAACACACCTCAACACATACCAGATCAGTGTTATACCTCGTCAACACAGCTCTTGAATATGTAACATATGAATGTTATACCTTGTCAACACACCTCCTCAATATGTAACTTATCAATTTTATACCATGTGAACACACCTCTTCAATATGTAACATATCAGTGTTACATCTTGTCAACACACATCAGATCAGTGTTACACCTTGTAAAC